AACATCCAGTTCTGCTTAACCCCTCCCTAGAAAATATAACATTTTGTTCCTACATACCCCTCCCTAGATGAGAGAACATTATGTTCCTCTATACTCCCTCCTTAGAGGAGAGAACAAACTGTTCCTCTACATCCCTCCCTAGAAGAGAGAACAAACTTTTCCTCTATACCCCTCCCTGGAAGAGAGAACATACTGTTCCTCTATACCCCTCCTGGAAAAGAGAACATCCAGTTCTGCTTAACCCCTCCCTAGAAAATATAACATTTAGTTCCTCGATCTAACCCCTTCCCTAGAAGAGAGAACATTCTGTTCCTCCATGCCCTTCCCTAGAAGAGAGAACATTCTGTTCCTCCATACCCCTCCCTGGAAGGGAGAACATTCTGTTCCTGTATACCCCTCCCTAGATAAGAGAACATCCTGTTCCTCAATGCTCCTCCCTAGAAGAGAGAACCACCAAATACTCTACACCCCTTCCTGGAAGAGAGAACATTCGGTTCCTCTTTACCCCTCCCTGGAAGAGAGAACATTCTGTTCCTCTATACCCCTCCCTGGAAGAGAAAACATTCTGTTCCTCTATACCCCTACCTAGGAGAGAGAACATTCTGTTCCTCTTCCCTGGAAGAGAGAACAAAACTGTTCCTCAATACAATTTCGGCGATCCAACTTCACAGGTTTTCGCAACCTTCATGGAACCCAGAATATAACCTTGTAAACATTGTTAAAATTTACCGTTACTTTGTATATTTTAATTTTTATACTGCGAAATAAAATTGAATTGAATTGAAGTGAAGACCCCTCCATGGAGGAAAGAACATCACATTTTGCTTCATCCCCTCCCTAAAAAATATAACATTCAGTTCCGTGATCTAACCCCCTTACTAGAAGAGGGAACATCCTGTTCCTCCATGCCCCTCCCTAGAAGAGAGAACATACTGTTCCTCCATGCCCCTCCCTAGAAGAGAGAACATACTGTTCATCTATACCCCTCCCTAAGAGAGAGAACATCCTAATCCGCAAAACCCGTCCCTTGAAGGGAGAACATTCTGTTCCGCGATACCCCTCCCTGGAAGAGAGAACAAACTTTTCCTCTATACCCCTCCCTGGAAGAGAAAACATCCTGTTCCTCCATGCCCCTCCTTAAAAGAGAAACATTTCTGTTCCTCCATGCCCTCCCTGAAAGAAAGAACATTCTGTTCCTCTATACTCCCTCCTTAGAGGAGAGAACAAACTGTTCCTCTACATCCCTCCCTAGAAGAGAGAACATTCTGTTCCTCTATATCCCTCCCTAGAAGAGAAAACATTCTGTTCCTCTATACCCCTCCTGGAAAAGAGAACATCCAGTTCTGCTTAACCCCTCCCTAGAAAATATAACATTTAGTTCCTCGATCTAACCCCTTCCCTAGAAGAGAGAACATTCTGTTCCTCCATGCCCTTCCCTAGAAGAGAGAACATTCTGTTCCTCCATACCCCTCCCTGGAAGGGAGAACATTCTGTTCCTGTATACCCCTCCCTAGATAAGAGAACATCCTGTTCCTCAATGCTCCTCCCTAGAAGAGAGAACCACCAAATACTCTACACCCCTTCCTGGAAGAGAGAACATTCGGTTCCTCTTTACCCCTCCCTGGAAGAGAGAACATTCTGTTCATCTATACCCCTCCCTGGAAGAGAAAACATACTGTTCCTCTATACCCCTCCCTAGATGAGAGAACATCCTGTTCCTCTGTACCCCTCCCTAGAAGAGAGAACATTCTATTCCTCTTTACTCCTCCCTAGATGAGAGAACATCCTGCCCCTCTTTAACCCTCCCTAGAAGAGAGAACAATCTGTTCTTCTATACCCCTCCCTGGAAGGGAGAACATTCTGTTCCTACATACCCCTCCCTAGATGAGAGAACATCCTGTTCCTCTTTACCCCTCCCTAGAAGAGAGAACATTCTATTCCTCTTTACTCCTCCCTAGATGAGAGAACATCCTGTTCCTCTTTAACCCTCCCTAGAAGAGAGAACATTCTGTTCTTCTATACCCCTCCCTGGAAGGGAGAACATTCTGTTCCTATATACCCCTCCCTAGATAAGAGAACATCCTGTTCCTCAATGCCCCTCCCTAAAAGAGAGAACCTCCAAATACTCTACACCCCTTCCTGGAAGAGAGAACATTCGGTTCCTCTTTACCCCTCCCTGGAAGAGAGAACATTCTATTCCTCTTTACCCCTCCCTGGAAGAGAAAATATCCTGTTCCTCTTTACCCCTTCCTAGAAGAGAGAACATTCTGTTCCTCTTTACCCGTTCCTAGAAGACAGAACATTCTGTTCCTCTTCCCTGGAAGAGAGAACAAAACTGTTCCGCAATACAATTTCGGCGATCCAACTTCACAGGTTTTCGCAACCTTCATGGAACCCCGAATATAACCTTGTAAACATTGTTAAAATTTACCGTTACTTTGTATATGTTAATTTTTATACTGCGAAATAAAATTGAATTGAATTGAAGTGAAGACCCCTCCATGGAGGAAAGAACATCACATTTTGCTAAATCCCCTCCCTAAAAAATATAACATTCAGTTCCTTGATTTAACCCCCATACTAGAAGAGGGAACATCCTGTTCCTCCATGCCCCTCCCTAGAAGAGAACATACTGTTCCTCCATGCCCCTCCCTAGGAGAGAGAACATTCTTTTCATATTTACGCCTCCAAGGAAGAGAGCATACTGTTCCTCTATACACCTCCCTAGAAGAGAGAACATCCTGTTCCTCTATATCCCTCCCTGGAAGAGAAAACATTCTGTTCCTCTATACCCCTCCTGGAAAAGAGAACATCCAGTTCTGCTTAACCCCTCCCTAGAAAATATAACATTTTGTTCCTACATACCCCTCCCTAGATGAGAGAACATTATGTTCCTCTATACTCCCTCCTTAGAGGAGAGAACAAACTGTTCCTCTACATCCCTCCCTAGAAGAGAGAACAAACTTTTCCTCTATACCCCTCCCTGGAAGAGAGAACATACTGTTCCTCTATACCCCTCCTGGAAAAGAGAACATCCAGTTCTGCTTAACCCCTCCCTAGAAAATATAACATTTAGTTCCTCGATCTAACCCCTTCCCTAGAAGAGAGAACATTCTGTTCCTCCATGCCCCTCCCTAGAAGAGAGAACATACTGTTCCTCTATACCCCTCTCTGTAAGAGAGATTTTTCTGTTCCTCTTTAACCCTCCCTGTAAGAGAGAACTTTCTGTTCCTCTACAGCCTTCCCTAGGAAGTCAACGTTCGGTTCCTATACACCCCTACCTAGAACAAAGAGCATACTGTTCCCTTTATAACCCTCCTTAGAAGAGAGCATACTGTACCTCTATACACCCCTACCTAGAAGAGAGAACATACTGTTCCTCCATGCCCCTCCCTAGAAGAGAGAACATACTGTTCCTCTATACCCCTCCCTAGGAGAAAGAACATCCTGTTCCGCAATACCTTTCCCTGGAAGAGAGAACATTCTGTTCTGCAATACCCCTCCCTGGAAGAGAGAACAAACTTTTCCTCTATACCCCTCCCTGGAAGAGAAAACATCCTGTTCCTCTATGACCCTCTCTGGAAGAGAGAACAAACTTTTCCTCTTTACCCCTCCCTGGAAGAGAAAACATCCTGTTCTTCTATACCCCTCCCTAGAAAAGAGAGAACATCCAGTTCTGCTTCACCCCTCCCTAGAAAAGATAACATTCAGTTCCTTGATCTAACCCCCTCCCTAGGAGAGAGAACATAATTTTCCTCCATGCCCCTCCCTGGAAGAGAGAACATACTGTTTCTTCATACCCCTCCCTAGAATAGAGAAGATTCTGTTTAGCTTTACCCCTCCTTAGAAGAGAGAACATCCCGTTAATTGAAAACCCTTCCCTAGAAGAAAGAAAAATCCTGTTCCTCTAGTCTATACACCTCCCTGTAAGAGAGAACATTCTGTTCTGCTTTACCCCCTACTTAAAAGAGGGAACATCAGGTTCCTGCATACCCCTCCCTAGAAGACAGAACATTCGGTTCTTTGATCTAACCCATCCCTTACACAGAGAACATTCTGTTCTGCTTTATTCCACACCCCCCCCCCCCCTAAAAGATAAAACATGTTGTCCTCATTCCCTGCCCTTTAAAGAGAGAACTTTCTCTTCCTCTTAAGCTCTCTCTAGAAGAGAGAGAATTCTGTTCTGCTCTACCCCTCCCTGGAAAAGAGAACATTCTGTACCACTTCACCCCTCCACAGTAGAGAAACATTCTGTTCCTCTATCTAACCCCCTTTCCTAGAAGAGAGAACATTCTGCTCCTCGATCTTACCCCCTCCCTAGAAGAGAGAACATTCTGCTCCTCGATCTTACCCCCTCCCTAGAAGAAGGAACATTCTGCTCCTCGATCTAAACCCCTCCCTAGAAGAGAGAACATTCTGCTCCTCGATCTGAACCCCTCCCTAGAAGAAAGAGCATTCTGCATATGCTCCTCGATCTAACCCCTCCCTTGAAGAGAGAATTACATTCTGTTCTGATTTACCCCTCTCTAGAAGAGAACATTCTGTCCCACTATACCCATCCCTCGAAGAGAAAACTTCTGCTCTGCCTCATAGCCCTCCCAAAAAGAGACATTATGTTCATCTATACCCTCCCCCTCCCCTTCTTTAGATTAATAAATATTTCAACACTTTGGATTAGATCAGAACTCGAGTCGAGTCTATTAGACAGATCAATATTTAATCACATGTAAATTGGATAAAAGCTTTCTTTATCAATGAGCAAAATCATGTGATCAATTCTTCTTCTTCCTGAAAAGTGTGCAGGCTTGATGAAATGATCGAAGAAGTGTTTTTCTCTCTATTTTTTAATTAAGAATTTAATAAATTTCCCAAATAAATGAATCTTTAACTTACCAACATGACATCAATTTCAAAACAGCTAGATATAGGTCATAGATCTAGGTCATAGAGCTATACGGAGCAAGTTGAAAAAGCTCAATTTGGGATTGACACAGCTCAGCAGCCCGGGGCACGGCTGGGGTCGCCACCAGCTAGCTAGCCGTTCGGAAGCTAGAAGCTCTATGCAATGATGCCGCTAGTGTTAGCGCGCCATCTCTAACGAGTAACGAGTGCTGGCATTTCATCACTCGACGTGACCGACTACTCCTCCACTCAGGCAAGCGAAAGGATTGTAATTTAACAACCCAGTTTTCAGGTGAGTCTAATCGTACTATTTCTATCATTATGTTGTGATCCGCGTTTGTATGATCCTATAATTTGAGTTACAGCAGGTAAACAATTCTGAGAACGAGACGCGGATTCAGTACTTGTCAGGGTGTGCGAGAGTGCTAGTGGAAGTTGTGGAGCGGGAGGTAGAGAGAAAGTTTCACTTGTCCTACTAGTTCTTACTAAGTTTTGAAGAAAGGTAGATTAATTGTATTCATTTCAATGGTTATATTTTGACATCTTCTGATTTTTTGAGTATTTAGGAAATTGTTAAAGCAAGGTAATTAAAGGTAATTACTTACCTACGTCAGCTGCACTTATGACAGTTTTGAACTAGATCGTCGATCGTCTCGCACATCATATGCGGCATGCACCTTAGCTGTACTGGAGCTGTGCCCCCGTCCAGGCTGGTTGTTGGGGTACGGTTCGGGCTGGCGGTGCAACCGATCTTTAGATCCTGTGCTCATCAATGCACGATGCGCGCTATTAGCGGTTTAGGCCCGGTGCTGGGGCCTGGGGGCGGGATCGGAGGGGGGGGGGGGGGCGGGAGGGGGGGCGTGACTAGTTGGCATATTGATTGATTGATTGATTGACTTTATTCGCCAAGCCTCCAATATAAAGAATTAAAGTTCAAAATTAAGTCAGCTTGAATAGGATAAACCACCAAACTCAAGAGCTTTATTTGTGTCCCTGACAAACATATACAAATTAATAATTTAAAATCATATTATTTATTAATGATGATAATGATGATATTAATAATAACTTTAATAAATAGCAACATTAAAATATGAATGATCAGTGATGATAGAAATGACAATAATTACAAGAAGATAAAGAAAAAGAAGAAGAAGGCAAAGAAGAAAAGAGGAGGAAGAAGAGGAAAATAATGATGAATATGTTGAATTTCTAAAACGTACACAAACTAATTGACTTGACTTATACTGTCCATGCAGGCAAGGGGCCTCGTGATGGCTTCTGTATGGTGATGGTATGCCAGGTATTTCTGTCTGCAGCCAGTCTTGATGCATCGATCTGTCAGCCTTTATTGTTATGGCTCTTGCTCTGCAGTCCCCTGAGATTCAGTCGAGCCATCTCTTTGGTGGACGGCCTCTGGGTCAATTTCCTGTGATGTTTCCTTCAACAGGAATTTGTTGGTATCTTAAAGACAGTTATAATGTTTACATACAAAATTAAAAGTATGAACCTGGTCAAGAAAAGAACATTTCTTGTGGATATGTGTGGCACTTCTTTCATCAGGACTTTGACCATGAATAGATCGATTTAGATAGTCAATAAATAAATATGTTCCTTTAAGTTTATGAGCCCATATCTATTCTTTCATTTGCTCAATCCAGATCTTCAAATAATAAGTGAACTCTACTACTTATGTCTTGTTGTTGTGTTGTTGTTGTTTAGTCTTAAGGGCGTGTGTCATTCAATTATGGATATTTACGCCGAATTCAAGTTTTTAAACAATTTTAATTGGAAGCAGAAAAAAGGAGGGAAGAAAAAAATCGACGCTGTTCAATTTTTTGCAATTTGCGGAGATTCCAGACAGGCTGTCGATCAACATAAAATCATTTGACCGTTTTATGCGTATTTTCTGGCCAGCCCGGTTCGGTACATTGAACAGGCTTCTCGGCTTGCATGTTCATGCGCAGCCTAGGCCCCTCCAATACCGGCCAAGGCTATGCGATGTCTGTCGGTGGGATGTCTCCTTTCCGGGAAAAAACAAAAGCAAACAAAAAACGAGAAACAAAAAACAAAACCATTATAATTTAATTAGACTGAAAACCAGTTTTTGAAGATCTCAAATTATGCAGATATTTTGAAAGAAAAAAAAAGTCTTTTTTATGACCTCTCCAGTCTCCATTCAAGTTATGTAAGCTGCCAGAAACATTGATATCATTTGTTTTACCCATTTGTGTATTTCATAGAATATTGTTGATACTCAATGACTTAATAAAGTCTTTCTCCATCTTTCTTCATCTTTCTCCCCACTCCCCCCTCTCTCTCCCTCCCTCTCCCTCCCTCTCTCCCTCCCTCCCTCCCTCCCTCCCTCCTGTCTCTCCCTCCCTCCCTCCCTCCTCTTGCTGTATCTCTACTTTGGATAACCCTCTTGTACCCTTTTCCTACTCCTCTTATGCCATGTGCATTCATTGCATCACCCCTACTCTTTTAACTTTTCTCTCCTTTTCCACTCCTTCCTTGATTTTGGTTTCTATCATTTTGCATTGTCGTACCAGCGATTATTGTCCTTTAGCAAGGCATTATTCTACATTTGCCACTCCATACCCAGGAGAGAAATGGGGATATGTTAGGATGATGAAAGCCTTTGTGTTAGTGATTGCCATTTGTCCTCATGGTGACCATACATGTATGGTAGGATTAATCCCCAGGGAATAGCGATGGTGCACATTGTGTGTGAATGAATTTAATGACCGGGGTAATGTAGATCTGTAAAGCACTTAGAGGCCGTATTTTATTGAGCGCTATATAGATTCAGATTATCATTATTATTGTCTAATGATATAATTATTTCAGTAATGGCCGACTCAGAAACCATCCCGGAAGAATCTTCTGGACGGACGGATGGCAAGGAGAAGGACACGAAGAACAACTCGGGATCCAATGTCAGTGAGGCACACAGTGAAGAGACGTCCCAACATCATCAACAGGAACACCACGAAGGGTTAGTCTTCATTTTTGAAAAATATGTTATAATGATTCTAGTAAAATGATGATGTTAATTGTCAAAACACAGCAAAATTAGGACAAGTCATCTACTAATGTCTGTGCAAAGTTGGCTGCATTTATGTAAAGTTAAAAGTGAGATAAATGTACACCGTATCCGCAAGCATCAATGATTATTGTTAGTTCTGCACAATTTAAGTTTGCAATGACAATTAACATTGTTTTCCCTAGCATAAAAGATAACATTGTTTTCAGAATAAAGCCCCCACATAAGGTTTTTACCCATGACAGCTTCAGTGTAGACATGACAAAGAAATCACCCCCCAAAATAGTGTTTATTACAAATTTGGCAGTCTCATATCTGTGTTCATTAATGATTAAGGCACTTGAATGTCAATAGTTTTGTAAGTTAAAAAGATACAAAAATATCCAAAAAATATGTTGTTTAATATATGAAAACATACACCACGTATAAGTTAAACTATTTGATAGTGAAAAATTATTCAGTAATTGGAATAATACATATAAAGATATTTGGCACAGTTGGTATGAAGAATATTCAATAAAACTACTTATATACCTCACTTAAGTAATCCAGCAATCTGATTGGTCGAAATTGCATTCATAAACTTTAACTGTTTCCGAAAATTCCCGGTAACCATGGTTAAAAAACAGTTCAAAATCCCAATTACCATGGTTATTGGGAAAATAGGTCAGTCTCCATGGTTACCCCATAGGTTTACATGTTAAAAAATGGTCTGAGCAATCGAGGATACCGTACGTGTGCGAAAAATTGGTCGGTAATTTCAATACAATTGAATCTCGATTGATCTTACCGACAATTTTATCTTGCATTGTTGACATTAAGACGAAAATAAACTTCCAAAAACAAAAAAACAACATCTGTCGATAGATCTTGATCTAAATTCGTGCCAATATGCATTGCAAAAGTAAAGAAGGGCCTGTTTAATGGAGCAGCCGCGAAGCTTCCACCACGCGAAGCCGTTTTCAATCCATTTTAATGTATATATAAGAAAAAACTGCTATGTATGGTAACGAGCGCGAAAGCCGAGCGGTTTAAGGCGGCGGTTTTCGTTACATCACCTTTGGTACGCAAGAGATCGAGTCCCATCTTCAACAAAAGTTTGTTTGTTTTTTTTTTTTTTTTGGCATATAAAAGTATTAATGACTGCTTTGAGAGAAATAGTTGTTTTTATACGCTCAAGGGAAGGTTAGAATTGTGCTATTGCCCCGAGGCGTGCCGAGGGCAATAGCCCAATTGTAACCTTCCCGAGAGCGTATAAAAACAACTATTTCTCGAATATTAAAGCAGTCATTAATACTTTTATACTATAATATTATCAAGCTATGCACTTACAGTGTAGGTATACCTACTCTATATTTTGACCTTTTGCAGTAAATACCATTTTATATAAAAACATCAAATATAATTATATGGCAATGTACAATATTGATCAATAAAATAATCACATGATCACATAATACTGTTTCATTTTCATTCCTCAAAACGAATAGCTGCTCTTGTAGAAATATCTTACAACTCGATTTAACTACCAGCCATTACAAGCCAGCATGTTTTAGAAGAAAAAATATCTTAGAGGTTCATTGACATCAAAGGATTTCTCATGAACAACTATGAATTTAAAACTGTAATACAGATCTTTGAAACAAAATGCGAGATAATTTTCCCTTGGAATTCCGTTCAAGTATACCATAGGAAATAACATCCTCCAGAAGACAATATCAAGGGAAACAACACTAATGTCGAAAATAATATCGCTAGTGATATTTGTTTGTCTCGCAATGTGGTCAATAAGGAATCTGAAAGATCACGACGTTTCGTGCGCTATCTGCAACACTTCGTCAGGTGATAAAAACAAATGTAAGCAAGGGTCTTTTATACTTTACAGGAGGACCGGCGGAACGGTCTATAATTTGATCGATAATTGGAACAATAACGCACAATGCCTATTGGTCGACGCACACGGTGATCTACCAATCACCAAGTGTTGCAGATAGCGCACGAAACGTTGTGATCTTTTAGATTCCTTATTGACCACATTGCGAGACAAACGGATATCACTAGCGATATTATTTTCGATACTACATCCGCAATGAGTAATATATTTAGCATTAACACTATTGTCCTTTGGCAAAACATTGATCTACATGTGCCACTCTCCACCCAGGTGTTAAATGGGTACCCGGTAGGATGCGAAAGTTAATGTGGTTAGATTAGCAAGTGTGCGCCTGGCTGGAATGCTCCCCAGGAAGTGGAGAGTGTGCATACATTGTGTGCGGGTAAGCCTGAATTCAATGACCGGGGTAATAATATATATCTGTAGAGTGCTTTGAGAGGGCCTGGGGTCCTGAAAAGCGCTATAAGAACTAAATATTGTTATTATTACCTAGGACTTGCCCTTTTACCTCACCAATCAAAACTAAACCATAAGAACAGTGCTTGAATGCTCTAACTCTTGATGAGCCAGATCTCATTATTTCTATTGATTGGTTTCATGGGTGGATCGTACCCACAGAAATAGAAGCATCCATCCTTGTATTGGTCCTCAGACAGGGAAGCTCGTAGTTTCTTCAGTTCTTGAATGATCTCTTTCTCCCCAGCATAACCACCAAACCGCCTGGGATAATGGGACAAGCAACAAGAGTTCAGTGTTATGCATAGCAAGCAGTGTTAACAAAAGAAAAACAAAAGATTAAAAGACTGAATGCCATTACCATTAAGGTATTTTATAGATTCTCTTACAGTTCATATTCCTGCCATTGTCTTGGATTGATGAAAGTACTTTGTAAAATTATATGATATACAATGTAAACCAAGTATTGTTGATCTTTGGACTTTTTATTTGGTATATTTGTAATAAAACCGAAATTGAATTGAATTTAATTGTATTGAATCAGAATGTGAAGTTTTAGAAACTTGTTTGTAAAGATCTGAGAGAGTATTTGTACAGGATTTTCAGTTTCTTGTGGTTCTGGACCCCATCCAAAAAGTTAAGTGTGGAGCGCTGCTTAGTCAAAAGGTTGTAGGTTCAAATCTCTCACCAGTGCGTATACCCCAATCAGACTAGGCATTTTATCTTCAGTTGCCTCTCTCCACCTACTTAAAAGGGTCACCATACCTTATAAAAGTGTGTAGGGATGCTATATCGGTGAATTGCTGTTTCGTCTACAACCAGTTCGCCCACCGTCCAATTAGTCTATTCCCATATGGTCTACACCCATTTTGGTTATTAGACCAAACAATAAGTAGATAAATTGAATTTTAGACCATGTGGATGGTAGACGCGGGGGGCTTATGAAAATAGACCAATTGGGTAGTAGATGAAGTGGTTGTAGACCAAATGGCAATAAACCCTTATATCATACAGTCAAACCTGCTTTAGTGACCACCTGTCTACAAAGACCACCTGTCTACAAAGGCCACATTTGTTGTTTCCCTTGAAAATGGTTTCTCATTGAATCATGTACTAAAGGAACCTGTGTACAAAGACCACCTGTCTACAAAGGCCACTTTTTGTGTTTCCCTTGGGTGGTCGCTATAGACAGGTTTGACTGTATTAGGCTATGGTCTATACAAGAACGGTTAGTATCATGATTAAAAAATATATCATTATGACTCGTGCCTACTTACCGAACAAACATGGTGGTCTCTGGATTCTCCCGGAAGGTGATATCATCGTCGTTTGGCTTTGGCGGGTCCCCTGCAGTCTTGGCAGGAATAAAGAAACCAACACGGAGTACCTGTTTCATTGTGTTCCATTCATCATCATCGGGCTGGCAGAAGAAACACACAGGAGCGGTCATCGCAACTTTCTTTCCTGGATATGAAAAAAGGAGAAAACACATGTATGTGAAAAATTTGGGAAAATGTAATCACTGTATGAAATTATACGTCATGAGCAAACCGCAGACCATGTCATCTACAACTGTCCTGATGTCAAACCTCCTGACGGGATGACTGATCTGTCAAGCCCAAATGAGGCACAAGTCAACTGGCTTACCCAGCTTCAAGAAATAACTTGATATAATACTACTACCTCATATGAAAGAAGATGAATAATAAAATGATTATTAGACCTTATGGATGGTAGAAGAAATGGGTAATAGACAAAATGGGAATTGGACTGACTGGTTATTATTCTAAGTGGACAATAGACCGAAAGGGTAGTAGACTAATTGAAGATTAGACCACATGGCAATTAGACCAAATGACCATTAACTTAAATGGTCATTTGACCAAATGATAAGTAGACAAAAGGGTTATTAGACCATGTGGATAGTATTAGTGGACGGGCTGGATGTATGTAGACCATATATGGGAGTAGACCAATTGGGTAGTAGACAAAGGTTGTAGACCGAACAGCAATTCACCAGTACCATCTCTCCTAGCCTACCTGTCATGTTTGTTCCAGAGATGTATTTGAATAGCTTTGTGAACCCTTCGCTAGAGGCATCCTTGTATTTCTTTCCTTCCACCGTAGTCACCGCCCATTTACCAGCCGCATACTTCCTTTCCTCGTACACCTGAAGGTTCAACACAAATTGAGATCAAATCCTTTTTTATATGTGTATCAGGAGAGTGGTGGTTCAATCCATATCATTTTGCATGAGAATAAGAAGTTGCTGGGTGTCACTCAGGAGACCTACAGTGTGTCAGCCGAATATAAACAATATTTTCTCATATTTATATTTATAATCCTAAAATCAAACTCATACAAAGTTTCTTGCCGAACGTATACCCAAAGTTTTGTTTTATTATTATTATTTTCAAAGAGGCAGTGATTAAGAGAGACATTGATTTCATGGTACTTTTCAAAAGTTAGTACTCTGTTGTACCTTAGTCCCCTCCCCCCCCCCCCCCCCCCCCCCCCCTCATGAAAAGGAGAGTACCTGCATGTATCAAATAATCAAATTGTCTCTTTTCTTTCCTTCTTGTTTTTTGTTCCACAAGTGCGC